GCTAGCTTCTGATCGACAGCCAGAGCCCTGAGGTCAGTCTCCAACAAATAATTTATTCAGTCTATGTGCTATCATCGCAGTCTGCCAAAATCAGCACTTGCTGCGCCTTGTGTGGGTGTGTTTGATGTAGTTAATGTATGCTTTTACGCCCACCATAAGCATCTCCCTGCTTTGCCAATACTGTATGAATAGACGGGAATGAATTGAATTACTGTAGTGGGAGAGTGCCTTAGGGTTCAGGGTAGGGGGGGGGATGCGGTGGCCAAATGCTGCGCAGTTTGTCGCAAAGGCCTCCGTTGTTCTGACAGCCAGAGAAAAGGGCAGAAAAAAAGATCTTTCACATGAACAAAGACATGCAGGCATGAAAGAAGGAGGTGAGCAGGTTGGAGGGATCCTCACAAAGCATGATGTCAGGACCTCTGCCCGATGACAGACAGAAAGACCAAATAAAACACTACAACATCTATGTCACCCACTCAACCTTGTGTTCTCACCTCCATTCTCTAGCTTGTGTTTGTGATGTTAATAAATCAGAGCATCCTTGAACAGGCACTGATTGATCTCTTGCCAGAAGTAGAAATTAGGAACAGCTTGTTTATTCTTTTTCTGTGAACTTTTAAGAGATCTTTTTTGTGCTTCTGCCTTATTCTCACAAAGTAACTGGAGGCAATGTAAAGGTTAGGAAAAGTTGTTCACATCCCAAAATAAGTTAAAAAAAAAAAAAATGAAAAGATTAAAGTCACTCACCCCTCTGAGAATTGCCTAACCTAACATGTTCTAATTAATTTATAAAAACTCTACAACTACGCTGATAGATTAACATATGCTTGGTTTCTGATTTGTTAATGAAAATAGAAAATGAAATGAAATCTGATAACTTCAAAAGCATTGTCTAATAAATATCAAATCAACCTGAATATCCAAAGAATTAAAACATCTGCCGACAAAACTGAGATGTTAAAGTTGAAAATAGTCTAGAATTTTAAAATGAAAGTTGTTTTAGAACCCTTTTAGACAGAGGAGACTCTCAAACCAATGAACCAACTATCAAGCATGGCTTTTGCAGCATCACTGCCACCTGTACAGATGCATTGCATAAATAATGAGGTAGGAGAACTGCCTCCAAAGCATAATCTTAACTTCAAATCATCCACTAGCCAGTGTAATCCAGGGCAAAGTTGGAGAGTCCAATTTCAAATAGTTCTAAAACATTCAATAGCTGTCATTCAAATTAATAGAATCCAGAGTTCTTACCCTAACCCTTCTGGTTGGTAGAACAATCATTTGTCATACTCTTAGAGTTTAAAACTGGATGATCCAATCGATGGGTCAGGCATCTCTTTAGGGGGAATTTGAAAATGCAGGCTCAATTTTCCTACCTAAATTGAGGATTTCTGAGATTTGGAAAGTTTATTAGCTGCCTGAGATTCAAAACACAATGCAAATTTAGTGTTCTGTAAATCAGCAAAGAACGACAGTTTCATCCTTTATCAATTTGACGACTGTTTCTGTGCAGGAGAAAGCTCTGCTCTCGTCTTCACATGTAAAGCTGTGACCACCATTTCTTTTTTTCTTCTTTATCCCTGGAAGCATTATATAGGATGCTAAAAAAGGCTCATTATTTCTTCTGTTTTCTCCATCTTTGTATCTTACTACGACCCCTATAATTCTCTGCTCTGCCACCGTTTCATCATCGACTTTTCCCTTCAGCTTTGTCTTTTCTGCTACTGATTTTTGTGTTTAGACCAACAGTAAAATGATTCATAAAGCATGCCTTTAAAGCTTCTTCTCTCCTTTTTAAGTTTATGATTTTATTGGAAAAAAAAACTGTAATTTTTAAACAAGCCAGAGGGAAGAATAGTTTAACAAGGCATTCATGAAATTCCACTTTAGCCATTTGATTTAAGTTTGTTTTTGTTATTCTTAGCTATTAATTCAGTTATTGATTATTTTATTTGTATGTAAAAAAAAAAAAAAAAAAAAAAAAGGTTTTTACACGTAGCTTTCCTTACCTAATTTATTATTATCTCCAAAATTCCTCACTCGCAAAGGATTTGTACTCATTTTCAATTTTGTAATGCAAATTAAATAGATTTATACCTAACCACATAATTTTACAGAAATTACTGACGTTAGCTGTTATGGACTGATTGTTTATTTGTAATTCATCAAAAACAAATATTTAGTTTTTGTTTTTTTTTCTCTATTTTTCCAAGAAGGGTAAAATATGCAGCCAGTTAATATCAAAAACTTGTTGAAAAAAGTTAGTGGTCTACGTATTCTTTGTGAATGGATGCCTCACTTCGTACTATCAGAATTGTATGTCTGTATTTCAACCTGAATTTTGCTAAATTAAGATTGTTAATTTAACAACTAGTTAAAACTTGGTTAACGTTCAATTACTTTAGTATTCATTAAGTCAAATGTCTCTAAATTAACACAATATGTTTAAAGGTGTTTAATATGCATCAAGAAAATATAAATGTTTGGCAATCAAACGATTTTCACATTTATCTATTAGACTTATTATTGTTGTTTTTTTTTACCTTTGTTTACAGATTATATTATTATGTGCTATATTATATATTATTCTGGCTGTTTCATTTGTTTAGTTGAAGGAAAAAGTATAACACTCGACAACCATCATCT